AAAAATATTAGGCATCACATTCACCTCCACACTCAATATAGCACCTCATATCAATTACATCATCACAAAAGGCTTTCAAACATTTCACGCACTCAAAACACTCCGTTCACATGGTCTCAGAGGCGTCAAATTATTCGACATCACCGAATCACTCATCATCTCACGCATCAAATATGCAGCTCCCTCCTGGTCTGGTTTTGCCACGCAACAACAACTTCAGCAGCTACAATCTCTCATCAAAAAACTAATAACAAGTAAGAATGTTTATAACGTATTTATTTACGTAATACAAAATAAATGAAAACGTGTTCGGCAATGCAATTAGACAAAGAGAAGTTCGATCGTAAAATGTCGCAAGAAGAAGGGCTGTTGTCTTTGTGTTGAAGCTATATATAGTAAGTCGTCACATGCTTAGATTAGGGATGTGCGGTTCAACAGGCTGCAGAAGTCCTTTGGGACTTAGCAGGACTAGGTTATTGAAAATTAGTATGAAGCTAGAAAACCGTTATGGAACTAGTGGTCACGAGGAGTCGTATAGATATGAGTTGCAGACTCTTCGACACAAACCGGGTGAGTCACTGCGTGAATTTTCACAAACAGTAAAAAAATTAATGTCGTTAGCCTACTCGGGTGAACAGTCAAAGTTGGCGATACAGTTGACAAGAGATTTTTTTCTGCTCTCATTGACGCCGATTTAGAACTAAAAGTTAGAGAAAGGGAACCAAGAAATATTGATGATTCGTTAAGAATTGCACAGCGCCTTGAAGTTTCAAAAAATTTAGTTAATTCATCCTACAAGTTTATTCCACGGGTTAGGAACATGCAGGACACAACGGAGGATAGGATGAAGGCAGTGGAGCGCCAAATTGACTCGCTTCGTCAATCGCTTGACGTTCTTCGAGATCATGAGGTAAGGCCAACGGTTCCTCAGGTAAGGGGTGAAAAGGTTTGTTTTGGCTGAGGAAAACCAGGACACTTTGTCTCCCAATGCCCTCAGAGAAGTAATAAAGTATCATAGAAGTTTGACGGAGCCTGGGTTACCGTTGGTAACAATAATAGAATAGTGAAGTTGTCACTAAAGGATCGTCAAATGGACGATTGTGCCGAATCTACTCCAGTATGGAAGTGCAAATTCCGGCACGAGCAGAATTAGATGTACCGACAAATGCCAGCCACCCAAATTAACATTGACAGATTGTCTATGTTTTGAAGCAAGGTAAGGAAATCGGGTGTATATGTTGCTAGGACGCTGCTTCCGAAGGAATACGATGGTCAATGCGTCAGGGTATTAAACTTAAAGGACGAGTCCAGGCTGATTAAACAGGAAACGCGGTAGGCTGATCTGCCAGGGGCCACGGTGAAAAATATGTTAGGCTAACATCCTCGACAGGAGAATCTAGCTAGTCAAAATTATAATTGACGAATTTACTAGGGATGCCCTGTTAGTACGAACTTATGCTACTAACAAGACACCTTGTTGTGAGTTAAAATAAATAAAACAAACACAATTCAGGCGTAATAAAATATTATCTTTTTTCCCACTTGAATCTCGACCCGTTTCGTTTACAAGCTCCCAGAAAAAAGGGAAGAAATCGAGAGAGAAGCAGACATAAAAAATTAACATAGATTAGGTAACATTGAAAATTGCAATAATCTTTAATAATAATTAATAAATAAGATAGTTAATAAATGAATGTTTGATCCCTACAATACTCCCCCACAAAAGGCGGAGCCGTTTAAAAATAAAAATATTCATTTCGTTTGTTGAATGTTATTCGCCTCCCTTTTCTGGAGTGTTGGGTCGTTGGTTCGGATTTGGTTGACGTCGGTCTTGTTTCTTGTGTCGTTGTTGCGCCTGATGTTGTTGTTGCTGTTTCTGGTGTTTCAGTAGATTTTGTGTCTGATGTTGCTGGTTTTGTTGAATCTGTTGTAGAAAGTTTGTTGTTCGTTGTCGAACTATTCTTGTTGTTTATTCTGGTTTGGCTGTTAGAGGTAATGATAAACAAGCTGGCTTTAATCGATCAATTGACACGTTTTTAAAATTTCCTGGTAACAATTCAATTTGGGTGTATTTGTCGTTACGTTCAATCACTTTGAAAGGGCCTGTATATGGTGCTTCCAGTGGACGACGTACTCGATCTACTCTTAACCATACGTGACTACTGTTTGAAAGGTCATTTGGTACGAAAGCTTTTTGGGGTAGAGTGATGTTGATTGTTAGTTGGTAGGTAGATATTTCAATCAATCAATCAATTTTTAAAGCGCTATTTCCGCATGTTCAACGCGCTACTCCGTGAATTTAGTAAACAGATGAAAAGGGTTTTGAGATCCACCGCTCTGAGCTTCGTTAGTCATGGAGAAGTAGTTGGAGAATGAGGTAGAGAGTTCAAAGATAGATATATGGTTACAATATTCATTAACTGAATTTATCACTCCAAATTTAATTATTCCCCAAAATAAACACGATAATTCAGTAATTTTTACTTTTAAATGACATAAAACGAACTAATCATTTTAAAAACCTTCACATTCATATTTCCAGGATAATGCCTACCAAGCACTACGATCTCAAATCAGCTTGGCTGTGGGCTGGACGCACATGGTACGCACACCAAAAAAAATGCATGAAATTAATCAATTAAAAAAAATTTAAAATAAATAGCATCGTTAAAAAATGAATAAATAATTTCAATAAACTATATAAATGTAAAAATTAGAGGTATCCTAGGTATATGTAAATTTATTCTACATATATGGTTAAGTTCAGCTATTTTTTTAAAAACTTTATATTGAATTAATTCACTTTGGTTGATTATTAGTATTCTATCAAGTCACGTGAACTTCTTAAAGTTTCGAGCGAAAATCAAAATTTTACTTCTATCACGATGCCGTACGTTGATGTTTCAGGAATAAAAATTAATTTTCCGTACGAACCTTATCCATGTCAGGTCAGTTACATGGAGAAAGTCATTGAAAGTCTCAGGACGGTTGGTTCGTTTTCTCACTAATTTTGTCAGTGAGAGGTCCATAAAATAAACTACACAGACACACAACTCGGCCAAGGATTTCACAGTCAAGGATTTAAATATTAGCGTTAAATGATAAAACTCAAATAACTCGCAAAGTAATAATTTAGAGCCAGTGAAATTTTCAGGATTTATTAATTTAATAACATATCTAAGTTCATTGGGTGAAAATTTAAAAAAAAATCTGTGGCTTAAGTTTTTGTTTTAAAACAATTTTTAAAGCTTAAAATGCCAATAACTGATTAAGAAACGGAATTTTTAATAAAAATTTCATCAGGCATTTATGGCCTATAAAAATTTCAGTTTATTAATCTATTTTATTTTATTTTATCAATTTCTGAAACATAGTTTTTTTTAATTTTCAAAGATTTAGTGCAAAACGATAGTTTATCTTTATGATAATGATAATTACAGTTTGAATGATATAGTTTGAATGATAATTACAGTTTACTAGGTAAGAAAAAAATATAAATAAATGATTACCAAATGATTATAAAATATAAATGAAGTTTACCAAATTTTCACATTTTGCATACAATCCATATTTTGCAAAGGAATGTTTTGTTTACCCTTAGCATAACTTTTAAAAATGTGAGAATATTGAAAAAACTGAAAATAATAACTTTAATTAATTTGACTTTGTTGCAACCTTAATGAAGTAATCTCAAATTGAATACTTTTATTTTTAGTCAAAGAATGGCATTTTGGAAAGTCCAACTGGTACAGGAAAAACTCTATGCTTACTTTGTGCTGGTCTTGCATGGCTTGAAAACAAAAAAGCACAAATTGCTAATAACAGATGGAAAAATAATGCAGGTAAATCAATAAATTTATTTTTTTCAATTTTTTCTCCATTGATCCTCTAGAAAATTTTGTTTTTATCTTTACATGCAATGAATTATAAATAAATTTTTGCTGAATTTTTTTTGTCTTAACCATTTTTTTTTGTATCAACAGCTAAGATACTGTGCATATGAAAACACACATTGCAAGCGATAAGTGGGTTTACTTTGTATTCAAACCCAGTCACTGCATTAGAAGTGCTGGGTATCTTTTTAGTTTTTTTTATTCTTTATAATGCAGCTCTGTCAAATGCTAAACTGCTTACATACTATTCCTTACCTATAATTAAACCATCGGGTCACAAAGGCTGTACTATCCACATCATTTGATACACATTAAGTATGGGCAAGCATTGCATCATACGGTTATGATTGTCTTTAAGTTTTGGACAGACATTATTTGAACCATGCCATCACGTAATAACAGTGCAAGACATGCAACTCCTACTGATTAAGCTAACTTGGTGACCATATTCATAACATTATCGCACTGCCCAGTCATGATTAGGTCGATTATTCTTTTATTTACTGTTGAATTTTTTCTTTGATAAGTTGTACATGTCCATTATAGTTTAGAATCTTATTGTAAGTGAAGGTGAACTTGTTCACCATTGTCACAGTAAAGTATGAGTAATATCAATAGCAGCTGCAGCTCTAGGATTTTATTCAATTAATAAAAGAATTGTACTAAAAAAAATTCAAAGAAGCCAAGTAATCTTAAATGATACAAATATAAGCACCAACATCAGTGTATGAAGAAGAAATTCAAACAAACTCGCAGGAAGAATTGGATCGTGTATACTAAAAGATGCCAAAACGCAAGGTGTTTTCATCATTGGAGTTATTAATGCAAAAGTAGGAGATGGACTGGAGTAAGAAGATATGGATTGGGCAATAAGAATGCAGCAGGAGAAAGATTATAAAACTCCTGAAAAAGAAACTCATTTTGGATAACTTATGTATGCTTGCTTCAAGCTGCCGCTGTGACTTCTGTACAGATTGATGATATGAAGAAGAGAGGAAAATTAAGAGATGTATTTGAGACCATAAAAACATAATTGGAAAGTTTACACTCAAATCGGAAGAGCTCCATCAAAGAAGTAAACAAGATCTGAAAGATGAAGAAAATAAAGTAAAGGCGGTGTCAGAACTGGATATATTGAAGATTGAAGTAGAATGGATTTTAAAGAACACGGCTAAAAAAATTAAAAATTAATAAAAAAGGAAAGGGTATAGAATTCAAATAGAACTTTTGCAAAATTTGCAGGTTGAGTTAATAAAATCACTTATGTCCTGGTTATGACATTAAACTGACCCTCACTGCCTTCTGAGTGATGTTGGATCATCAAAGGCTAGACCCACCGCTTATAACTGTGGTTGCGTAAGGAAGGGCATCCTGCGTAAAAATTAGCCAAATAAATTACTTATGATGGAATGGCGTCGAGGGGTATTTCGGTATCATCATAGTTAGCCAAACGGCAACTCCCGATCTCGGGGAAAATGTTGTCTAAACTGTGTTGTTGTTTTTAATAAAATCACTTACCGTATTATATCAGAAAATATGGATTAATGATTGCCAGAGGATTGGAAAAGATCAATATTCATACCTAGGGAAGGGCCAATGGTTGCACAGACTATTGCACTCATTTTACATATTAGTAATAATATGGAAAATCATGCAGGCACTGCTGCACCAATACCTAGAAAGAAGGAACCACTATGGGTCATATTGCCAACATGAGATGGATTATAGAAAAAGCAAATAAACAACAAAGAAAGTATTTCTGTTTTATTGACTACTGCACTGTAAAAGTTTTGACTGTTAACCAACAACAAAACAACAACACACGTTTAGACGGCATTTTCCCCGAGATCGGGGGTTGCCGTTTGGCTACCTATGATGAAACCGAAATACCCCTCGACTCCATCCACATCTGTCACTCGCCTCAGTATCACGCAACCCCGCTTTCACCCTGTCCTTCTCCACCTGCTCTCTCCATCCCAATCGCGGACGACCCCTTCCTACCACTTCTTCAACCTCGAACTCCAACGCTCGCCTAATCCCGACCCTTTCATCCCTTCTCAACACATGTCCATACCACCACAATCTCGATCTCCTTATCAATGTCACAATGTCCTCATTCAGTCCCATCATTGACATCAGCTCTGTACTACTCCTCCTATCCTTCACTTTAACCCCACACATCATCCTCACCATAGCTCTTTCAGCCCTCTGCAGTACACTTTCCTCCTCTCTCCTCAACACCCAAGTTTCCCCACCATATATCATCGCTGCTCTCACACATGCTTTATATACCCTCCCTTTCATCTTCACTGACCATTTCTTTCCACACAATACCCCACCCAGTTCCCTAAATTTCATCCATCCCACACGAACTCTAGCCGTAACTGCGCTCAAACATCCTCCATCCGCATTCAGCTTATCCCCTAAGTAAACAAAGCTTTCCACTCTTTCAATACCATCACTCAACCCCGTCCTTGCGTCCGTCCTATTAATCACACCATGAACACATTTCTTACATTTGACTGTTAACCATAGAACTATATAACTGTGGAAGACTTTGGAGAAAATGAGATTACCAGGACATCTGATAAACTTAATTAAAAGCCTCTTCAAGAAACAAGAAAACTGTGTGCTCACTCTGAAAAGAAATTAAATGTTTTGAGATTAAAAAAAGGAATGTAAAGGTGTGACAAAATTTAGCAAAATAACTTTCAATGGTTGGGGAGAAGCAATTAAAATCGTCAATGAATTTATTTTCTTTTGATCAATGATCGTTGGGAAAGGTGAATGCTGCAATGAAATAAAATGCAGAATAATACCATGACCAATCTAAATAAAATCTGGAAATCAAAGTTTTTTTACTACTATGATGAGGTTTTTCATGTTTTCCATGGTTGCATATGGAGAAGAGACTTGGACAGTTAAGAGGACAGATAAAAACGTTCAGTTAAAAAAAAGATGTGTTTTAACTATGGTGCTGGCAAAGACTTTTTAGGATCCCATAGACCAAAAAAAAACAAATGAATATATGCTGGAGAAGATGAGACCAAAGTTATCATTGGAACTTACGATGTTATAAAATGAACTCACTTAACTCATTCACTTCGGACATATCATGAAAGTACACAATTCTTTAGAAAATAATGCTGATGATGGGAAGGATGAGGGGAACACACAGAAGGAGAAGACCAAAGTAAAATATTTTAAATCAATCATCGAAGACATTATATTGGACCCAAATGAGTTGGTTACTGCAACAGAGAGGTGAAGGCAGATTGACCATGGGATCATGGTAAGTCTGACCCGACTGAACCGAGGATGATGATGATGAGGCTATATAATTTTTTACATTTACTTTATATCTGCTTTCTATCCCAGTCATTTTTGACTATCTCTACTGATGAACGATGTTTTCAAATTTCTAATTAATTTTGTTTATGATGTTACGAACAAGTCGTTTATTTATATTATATCACTGAAATAAAGTTATAGGTTAAATTTAAAAAAATTAATAAACAGGAAATAGTTCTCATTTAAATAACCAGGAGGCGAACAGAGTGATTAATAATAACATAAACATTGAAGAGGCATGCAAACAGGATTTGGAAAAAATGTTAGATGGTGCTGCAGGAACTTGGAACGGAGAGTTTGGTTTGTAGCTGTTTATTTATTGTTCATCCTTTGCCTTTCTGTGTGATAGTCAACAATTAATTAACTGAACGTTTTTTCTGGTAAGTCAAATTTTTCATCAACAGTTAGATAATTCGTTGGATAATTTAATTGGATATTTTTTTGGTTACTTTTGATTTTTCAAAGTGGTAATTCATTTTTTATTTCTTTAATCTTTATTGTCAGAAATTTTAACTTACCAGGAGCACCAAAAATCATTTATGCCTCCAGAACACATTCACAATTAAACCAGGCTGTACATGAATTTAAAAGGACATCTTATAGCTAGTAATTTGATTTGATAATACAAAATTTTGTTGATCCTAATTAATTTAATAAACTAAAATACATTGTGCTACATGGCAGTTGCTTGCATTATAAAGATGTTAATTAAATGATTTGGCCATTAAATAATATAACTTCATAAGAAATTTCCATTAATTATTGCAAAACAGTTTAATTTTTTAAATTAATTTTATTATAGCAAAAGAAATTCATTTCCAGATAGCTATTTTTTTATTGTAATCATTGTCATTGGTAAGAATAAATATGAAAATTGTCTGTAGGTGTTGTTCTTAATGAACAAATTAAATTTTTTAAAATGTTTTTAATGTGTGATTTATCAAGGTAAGTGGAATATAGCTTTCAATCGCACATTTCAATAATTTTCTAAGCCCCATGCTTATAGGAAAATAATCATATTTTAAAGGAAAAGTTGATAAAAATCTGTAAAAATTATTGCGAAAACACAAAATGATTACTCTATGGAAGCAAATTTAGAAATTATTTTTATGATAATCTTTTACGCCTTTCATATTTTCATTTGTGTTACATATTTCAATCCTTCACATAATTTAAATTATTTTACATGTCGGATGGCAGCTATTACAAAATTATCAGTCTTTGTTTCTTTATTTTATGTAATATTTATTTAATTTTTTTCAAATGTATAGATTAAAGATGGTTGACTGTTTTTTGCTTACAATTATAACTGACAGCAGCAATTACTGCAGAATTTTTTTAGCTACCATTTATAGAACTTTATAAATCTGGTCCCACTGACATAATATAAATTAAAAATAAATCAACACTATAAATACTGATGAATTTCGACGCTTGTTTAAAAATTAGTAATGACCACATCTTTACCTAGGCACGGTTCACTCTTCAGTTTAAAAAATCTGCCAGTGTAAATGTAAAATTTATAAATGTCGGCTACATATGAAAAAAGATTACAAAGACCCTCAGAAAGGTTGTTAAAAAATTTTACTGAAGATGTCGATAAACCTATCAATCTTACAAATTTCAAGATAGTGCTAATTATAATACAACCAAGTGAATTTTATGTCTGGAAGAGAAGATGTCAAACGTCATGGATATTTCTATATAATGGCGGCAAGAGGGTTTGCTTGTACTTCAAACCTATTCTATTCCGTTTTTTGAAGATAAAGGAAATATTTTAGGGATTGTTGATATTTTAAAGAAAAAATTTAATAAAAATGAATTAAAACTTAGATCACAAAATGCTTTTTGATTTGTAAGTAATATTTTTAATGTAAAGAGTTGTAAAATTTAGCATGGTAATTATGAGAAAAATTTTGGTGACTGATGGATAGTATGAGTAAGTTTGGAACTAAAAGTGTTTAACAGTGGTGGACAGTTTGTGGCGTTAGAGGCAATTTGAGCCCAGATGAACTTTTTTTAAAGGCTTTAGACACAGAAATAAAAGAATTTGTTTCAAGGTGATTGTTTTAAACCTTTGCAATCATAGATTTGAAAAAAGTTAAAATATTTGTTCATTTCAATGAAAATTTTTATTTTTTTATCGATTGTTGAAGACGAACTGAATTAATTGAAGCAAGACAGGTAAAGAATTCATCATCATGCACGTTTATAGATTCTCAACCCTGGGAGGCTTTGTCGCATGAGCACGCACATTTTTGGTGCATATCAAAGTAGGTTTAGGATTCCATAAAACTTGTTGTCAAGTAAAGATCCTGCCTTCACTCCAACTTACCTTTTCTACTTTACCCAGACTTGGGACTGGCATGTGCGAAGAGAAGAACCATTCTTTCTTTTTGAGTGGCATGCTTCTATTTTCCAACAATAGCATTCATACATGGCGGGGTTATAAATGAAGAATTAAAAAAATGATTATTAAATCATAATTATTAATGTATTTTAAACTAAAAGTTATTTTTGTTTTATCTAGCATGAAGGCAGTTGTCATAGGTTCTCGTGAACAAATGTGCATCCACCCTACTATAATGAAGGAAACTAGCAACACATCTAAGGTAAATAAAGTGAATTATAATGGCCTTAATAGTTATGATAATTATGGCTAAAACGAAACTGATAGTGATAAAATAGATGTCATGAAAAGATTTATATTTTGGATCATAGTGATACATACATAACTTAAAATTATATTAGAGAAACTTGGAAACACTGGAAAAGTTGTGTACAATGTGGAGAATTTATAAATGACATGTCACTTTCTGAAATAATTATAAGTTGCGATTTAGTTGTAATGAACTTTTCTGCCATCTAACAATAAAGATAAAGTATAGATAAATATTATGTTTATACCGTGCTTTCTTTTCCAGATACATTTTTAATTTTTGAATTTTTCAGCGTTCGTCATTCACTGTTAAATCGTTTTTAACTTATTAACTCTAAGAAACGATTGAAGCAGCATCTGTTTGAACGGGCCTTTGGTGGTCATACTGACATTTGTTTATCTGGGCTCCAACGTTATGCATAGGGCACGCTGTAAAGATTTGTTTCATATAAATTATGGAAAATCTATAATCTACTCTGATAAAGTTTTTCAAACTGTTCTTTGATATATGTATTTGTTTAATGTTTCTTTGTCAATAATGTCAGGTGTACATGTGTCGAGCAAAGGTGTCCAGTAGATCTTGCCATTTTTACAATCAAGTAGAAGGTAAAAATTTTTATAAATTTTTTACAATTTTTGTTAGATCGTACGTTTTTATAAATTCGTCAACCTTTTGAGTCTAGGTTTTTTATGATTTATTTACAAGCTGATTTTTACATTGCACCACTCGTTTAATTCTCAAAATCTTTATTGTCATATGTTTCTGTTGAAGGAACAGATTAACTTATATAGGTTGACATTTTTCATCTATATCTATGACAAAATTTGAGTCACCTTTTTTATTCTTTTACTTAGTGGCTTTTGTTTATTTTGTGAATGTTTCTTCATTTGATACCATCAGAAACATCAATTATCACTATTGTTCAATGTGTAATGTAATCAACTATAAATATTTTGCCTTGCTTATATGAAGATTGTTTTTTGCTATTTCATCATAATGTGGAAACTGGTGAAATGGTTGATCATGCATAGTTGAACTTTTTGGTTTTTATTGTCAGATTTTTATAAATTTAACGAGCTTGTGGGATGTTTTAAAATACCTGAAACTTATTTAGTTTGTTTTTAATATACAGATGACGAATGCATAAGATAAATCCACGTGCAAACTTTTTTTAAAATTTAGTTTTATAGCCTAATAAATGTTCAGCTTGTATAGCTTTATAAAATAATTTTATATATATTTTACTCTCGAGAATCATTTGCTAAAATGAATAAGTTCCTGACCAAGTATTCACTCTTTATGTCTCTACCAATTAAAACTACTCCCAGTGCATACATATAAGAAAAATTAATTATAAAACGCATTAAATGTATCAATAAATCAATAACTTTATTTACCTTTTGTTTGTTCATTTTGATTTTGATATTTATTTTATCATGTGTATAAAGATGAAAGTAACATGAAAAAGAATATTTTTGACTAAACAACTTAAATATTTGCTTATTTATTTACCATTAGCTTTTAAAATTAAAATGATATTGTTATGCAAAGCATCATATTTTAAAGAACTATCTTATAGTATATTTTTTGAGTGTCTGGGCATAAAACTGCATCTACGCTGCTTTGCGTGCTTTTAAGCAAAAGGCTAGGCCCACCGTTTATAACTGATGGTTGTCGTCAGGATGGGTGTCCGAATGTAAAAATTTTTCCCAAAATTATTCTATGCCATCACAAAGAAAAACAACGGCCCCTAGTTCCAAGCAGGCCTTAAGTGGTCAAGGGTTGCCAAGAATCCCTGGGAAGTATGCAATAGCGGAGGGATGTTGCAGAAAAAATCAGAATGGCCCCTCTATGGTACTTAGACTTGGAAAAAATTGATGGCAAAGAAAACAACGTCCTACCTCGGGGAACAGGGAAATGAAGTCGCCACCCAATCTACATATCAGGAAAAGACCTTCATCAAAAGACACCTCACACATCTTTAAAACTTTATCATTCACACAACTAGTATTTATTTATCGATCACCTCACTAACTCACTAAGTCATCATCTAGTCTATTAATTTGCCTTTTTATGCCATTACATCATTTTATTGTCATTTTATTTTATTTTATTATTTTATTATTATTCATTGTTTATTTTATTCTATTTTATTTTACTTTTCATGTTTAAACATTTTTCTTTCACCGTTTTTTTATTTATTTACTTATTCGTTTAATTTTATACTACTACCTTGCATGCTGTAACAGTTTTTGCGTCTGTCAGATCTTGATTTTTAAAGAATAATAATAAAAAAGAGCAGAACCAGGCGCCTCAACCATTACAGTATTTCACCGCCCTTTAATTATAATTTTACTAATTTTTTGTGTTATTACAGCGTTTAAACCTCAGTGTGCCAATCAGGTATTTGACATTGAAGACTTACTAACATCAGGCCGTAAGAACAGGTTGTTTTTATGATAATCAATTTAAATTTTTTAGTTATAATTATTTTAGTTAAATATTTTTGAGTGAAATAATAATTTATTAAGTGAATAACAGATATTTCGCTTCATATAGTTTACCCAACCTTAATTAAATGTGTTCTGCAATAAGATGTTATTGGTGGTTTGTTGACCAGCACGGCCAAAATTCAGCTTTTTTGAATATTGTATATGCTTTCTGTTATGTTTTCTGTTATACTTTCTGTTTAGCCAGAACAAGTGTACTATATGTACACTTGTTCTGGCTAATAATGTACACGGTCTTCAACACTTAGGTTTTCTAGCAAATACGCTTTTTTTTGTTTATACAACAAGTAACACCACTCCTTGAATGTAAAACTTTCGTTTTTCATTATGTTACACACCAACTACGTAAATTTGTATTGACTTTAGCTAAATGTGATGAAGTAGTGGTATTATACTACAATTCTCTTCAATATTTTTTAGAGATTATAACAACATACAGTGCATATAAATACTAGGGTTGCACCGGATAGTACTTTTGATATCCGGCCGGATTTTGATAGCCGAATATTAAAAACTGATATTGACGTATAAGTTGCGCGTTTTACTGGGCGAAATGTATACATTCACCATAAACTGTAAAGTGTTTGTTGCGTTAATTCGCGGAAACAAAGTTATACTCTGCTACTAAGCTATAGCAAGCTGCACGCAAATCCTTATTTGTTTATGCTTTGATAATGACCAAGCTAACCGTATTGTTGACATTAATCAATTTAAAGTTTGTCTTTTAATTTTCCTTATTAGAATTTTCTGGAAATTTTTCTATTTGTTGAAAATAAAATTATCCAAGTTCATCACGAAAATTTAATGAAACTATTGTTATCCAAATTGTTATCCAAATTCATCATGCAGATAAGGCCTTATTTCGAATTTTCATAAAGCATCTTAAGTGCATGTTTGTTTTATATAGTTTCTTTAAACAAAGCAAAGTTCTTTAGCAAAGTTTATTAGTTGGTGTCGTATTCTTCATTTTTGTTGTTGTCATTCCTTTGTTCTTCATTGTTATTGAAATTAGTAGTAAGGCATCGAGTTGGTAATAATGTTACCATTTTTGTTGGATGTTTATTTGGGGTTTATTGATATTTATTAGAACAGCTTCTGCAATTTTTAGATGTATAGTGTTGGTGTTTTGATAAATCTTTTTTGCGTTGTTGTCAAGAATTTGGAGGATTATCGTAGTTGCATGTGCTGATTGCAAGTGATATTTAATGGCTCCTCTTTGTTTATGCATTGTGAGACGTCATAATAGTGAAGTGGTCGTAACACCAATATACGAATGTTGTTGACGCCTACATTTAAATTCATATATTACATAATTACGCTTCAAAGTAGATTCGTCTTAAGGAGTGCAGTTGTTCTTTATGACTAAATGTGATGTCTTCCAAATATTGTAGTATATCCAGAGTTTTATTTTATTAGTGTCATTGATTGGTTTAATATTTCTTTTTAGGATTTATTTGAGGACGACTTCGTCTATTTTATGTGCCGTTGACATGATTTCTGTAATATAGGATTATGTCGTTGTCATTCTTGTTTTTAAATATATTGCTATCTTGCCCTAGTCTTTGTTAAATGGTGTTCTCAATGGATGATTTTTTGTAACCATGGCTTATGGCTTACTAGTAGATTAGTAATTCTTTTCAGTCCGTATTGCGATCTTCAGTTGAGGATAAATGCGTGAATGCACAGTTCACAAAGGATTTTATTCTACTTATTCTGAATTGTTCCGTAAATTCACTTAGCCCATTTAAACAAATACCTTTATTTGTTGGGTTGACGTATAGGCAGTTGTAAATCTTTGTTCGTCATGCATTACCAAAACATCCAGAAATGGCAATGAATTTTCACTTTCGTGCTCGGTGGTGAAAATCAATTTTGATTGGTTCAGGGTTGGTTGACTTGTTCTGGATCATCGTATGCAACGAAAATGTTGTCAACATATCTGACATAAATGTTTGTTTTTAATTTGCTCAAGTTGTCCTAAAAAGAAATTTGCGAACAGGACACCGTCAATTTGCTTGTATAGCTTGCCTGTGGGGGTGTGGAAAGGTGCTTCGGTGGTGCAGATTTGGAGAAGAGATTTGAGATGTGCTTTTGGTATTTTTAAGGGAACCATGTCTGGGTGATTAACACTAGGGAACCATGTCTGAGTGATAAACACTATCGATGATAATATCACTTGTCATGAATGGGAACATTTGTAAACAAAGATTCAATATCCAGAGTAGCAATATGATTTGATGGTTTGTTAGTGTTCAATAGATTGATAAGTTCCCGTGAGGACTGGAGATTATAGTTATTAGGAATGTATGGGGTCAAAATTTTGTTTAGATATTTTGTAATAGGACATATTACTGTTGGAATTTGGTTGATGATAGGTCGAAGGGGGTTGTTATTTTTGTGCGATTTGATGTTGCCATAGAGGTATCCAGGTGAGTATTCGCCATGGAGTAGCTGGATTTTTTCTTGAGGTATGTTTTTGCTGATTTTCCTTATTATTGCGTGGAGTTTAGTTTTTAGGTGAGGAGTAGGGTCTTTTGTGATTGCTTGAGATTTTGTGCTGTCGTTGAGTAAGTGTTTGATTTTGGTGTTGTAGTCAGTTTTGTCTAAGACCATAAATTGAATTGATTTATCTGCAAAGTATTCAATCAATCAATCAGTCAGTCAGTCAGTCAGTCAGTCAGTCAGTCAGTCAGTCAGTCAGTCAGTCAGTCAGTCAGTCAGTCAGTCAGTCAGTCAGTCAGTCAGTCAGTCAATCTATCAATAAATCAATCAATCAATCAATCAATCAATCAATCAATCAATCAATCAATTAATTCAACTCAGTTTTTAAAAATTCAAGTGGGCTCTAACTAAAATTTGCAAAACAAACAAATTATGAAGAAGTACAAAAAAATGAAGTAAAATAAAACGAACTAAAAAAAAATCACATATTTTTAACGTTTTTTCAAAGTTTTTTAATTATTAAAAAGCTAACACAAAGAACTTGGAAAAAGTATATTGTTAAAGCCACACACAAATCACACACTCACAATGAAAGAACTTCTTAAATAGTATCAAGTCATCAATCCCATTCGTTACTGATGAAAAAATGTAAGAAAAATGCAGAGCGTTATAAATGTAACCGCAGTGCTTGCAATGTAGCCTGAACGTTTAAAACGAATTCGAATGTAGCCGGAGCCCTTTAGGTAGCTGAAGCACCCTTCTCAGCCAGTCAGAGTGCTAAGCAGATTATTATTATTAATATATATTCCGTCCAATAGTTCTCGAAGTATTTCTGACGTATCTATTATATCACTTCTAAACAGAATGAGATGACTACAATAAAAGATTGAGTAATGAAATTGGCTAGTACGAGAGAATAACAATTCGTCATAATATGAACAATAATAAACAAAATAAGTCTTAAGATCCAGCCTTGCGGCACGCCGTAAATAAGTTCTGAAGAGTGTATCTAGTAGCGCCAGAACATTTTCTATGTCTAAAACATTGCTGCTTTAATTGACTTAGCTTGATGAAAACCTGACTGATCATTGGGTAGTGGTGAATGGTTAAGGTAATCGAGGAGTTGGGAAGTAACAATTCGTTTTATAATTATGGTGATAGAAATGACCTGTAAAGAGGGAAAAACATAATAAACGTAGCCAAGACAAAGATTGTGTCGACTACTGAAAAAGCGAACTTAGGATGAGTATGGAATTAAAATGAAAAGATATAAAAATAGTTGAAAAGCCTTTTTAACTAAGCGACTAACGTTTGATCGGGAGGGGAAATCAAAAGAAAGACGACAATGGCAGGAGCAGCATATGACACACTATCAAATATTTTTCAAAAAAACGGTCCCGCGCAAAAGATTCAAAGTTGTACACTGAATTTCTTCCGCCTTTTCTGAATTGATTTGGGTACGTAATCAGAATAAAAAAAATATTGCTAATCAGAAGGTGAATGTAATGTATGCTATAGGAAGAAAATGGTTAAAAATAATAAGAATATTAAGAATAAAGGGATTTACAGCTGGAAAATTGCACAAGACAAACAAGAGTTATATATAAAGAAACCAAAAGAAGAATATAGCAGGAAACTATGTTATGTTAAACGATTTCTCCAAAAATACTTAAATTTTCGGCTTTGGACAAACTTTCAGATCTTAAAATCTATAAAAATAGGCATTATTTCATAAAAGTTTATTTTTTGCACTGTTTCACAATTTTCAATACCTCTAACGATCGGCTGTTAATTCAAATAAGTAAAAACTAACTATAACATGGTTTTTTCTTGTTATTTGTTATATGCTTCTCGTTTCTTACATTTTCTTGATTTTGTAAACAATGATCAAAATTGTTTTTATTTTAAAACATCTAACAATGTCTTTTGTTTTACTTAAGGTCTATTTCATTTAAGGATTACAAAAACTAACAATAGACAGAGAACTCCCTTTTCATGTTTTAAAACACTTACTAATACTTTTTTAACAAAATTTCTAATTACAAACAATTTTTCGTTCCATCCTTTAACTGCTGCTCATTAGTTAAAATTTTATTTATATATAGTTTTTGTCCATATTATTTGGCTAAAGAACTAAAAAAAGAAGCTGATGTCATATTCATGCCTTACAATTATGTCTTGGATCCTAAGGTTAGTTTTAAGTTTCTATTTAGATGATTTATTCAGTCAGTATTATTTGATTTGCTAAACAAACTGGTGAGTGACTGATAGTTGAGCATTGAGCAATCGATTATTTTTTGGTTCTTAGAATAACAGGCATAAGGTTACAGTTTAGTTTTTAAATTATTATTAATTGAAATATATCAAATGATATTCTTATTAAATTTACTAGAACTTGTTTTTCACATTTAAATGTTAGTATCACTGGCAATGTTCTTCATTTCTGTATTTATACAAGTCATCTATTCTTTGGCAAATGTAGTTATTATTGCAGTTGTGTTGTTGGAACTACTGTCTTTCTCAACCAGTTGTCGCTTATAATCTGATACGTTACGACTCGTGTTAAAAAATTTGCAAATTATTCAAAATAGACATGTACTCATTCATCTTGCAACCATTCTTTGCACGCAACTCCATTGGCTCCCTTATCTTTGCTTTATAACTCTTTTATCTCTACTTATTCTGTCTACTATTAGAGTTTTTTTAATGTGTTTATTTTTTTTTCAAAATCACTCGTTCACACATCGTCTAGATCACAAATGGTGCTCGTTTTGTACAATCTATATCAGTAATTTAAACTTTTCTACGTCGTTTATTGGTTGTCCCTTTTAGTACACATGCCTAACGTAGGTTTGTTACAAGTCTGTCGTCCCCATTCAAGCCCAAAATTGACTTAGCAATTTAACGCTGGATGTAATCGCATCTTAGTCGTTTATTGCCACGAAAATACCAAAATAGCGTTACATTAAACATTCTAAAAGTTGAGATCACAACAATTTTTTTTGCAACATGAACACATTAGTTGTAATGTTACTAATGTTACACATTACGTATATTTTTGAGGTATACTATTACGTATGCTTAAAGTTTTGAGCTACAAAAACGATAGTAGTTTTTACAATTTTCCATTTTATCTTCACATTAGTTATTAACTTTAGAGACAGTTTTCCAAATTTCTAAAGCATCCTTTCCTGTCTGCGACAATGCAAGCGCTTCAAAAACCGTTTTTTAAGACTTTGAAAGGAGTCAATCGATCAATCAATCAATCTTCGTTTCTGCGTATCTGCGTCCAGAGACCCAGTTCCCCCGAGGTAGGACGTTGTTTTCTTTGCTACCAATTTTTTTTACGCCAAATTAGACGATCAATTGTATCCATTTCATTTAAATTTAGAGCTTTCATGTCTTGCTCGATTGTTTGCTCTTGCTCGGCCTTTGGGACGTGTGCCAGGTACTTCAACATCTGCAAGAGAAGTTATTGCACTGTTTCCACTTCGTTTGACATGACCAAACCACCGCAGACGGTGTTGCCGGCATTCGTCCTTCATATCATCTAAACCAGCACGACGCAGTATTTCGGTAGTTTTGATGTGGTCCTTCAGACTAATTCGTGGCATCCATCGGAGCATTTTCATATCGGTTTGGTGAAGTTGTTGTTCCAGTTTGGTTGTCATTGGCCATGTTTCTGCACCATATAACAACACCGGACGTATCACAGATTTATAAAGTCTTGATCGTAGTGGTAGTGGGATGTCACACCGCATCAATATAGAGGCAAGGGGATGCCATTTATTCCAGGCTGCACGTATGCGTGCTCGAACGGCAGCTTCAGCTGTTCCAGTACAATCCAGAACATCCGCTAGTTATTGAAACGATGTGACTTTCTCTACCTTAATGGCTTCAAAAACATTGCTAATTTGAATTTGTTGCTGTGGATTGATGCCAGCAGGACAAACAAAATTGGACACTTTAGATAAAGTACCAATTATTTTTGAACAACGTTTGTGACACCACTGGTTAAACCGTTACACTTGATTGAATTGTTACCTACACCAGCTTCACAAACTGATCAGGGCCATCGTCCAGTAGCTGTGGATTCGATGGGTTCACCAGTGTTCATTGTTTTGATTTTGCTTATGTTGACTTTGAATCCATAATTGGCGAGTCTGGTGTTCCAATCTTCAAACATCTGAGCTGCATTCTGCACAGACGTGGCTGTTAAAACGATATCATCAGCATATATTAGATTCCAAATGTCACCAGTGCGGTAGTATGCCTGATTGAAAATTTTGGTTTTGCAACCTTAATGTTAAGTAGTCTTATTATTTTCCATAATCGTTCGCATGATCTTACTTTATTGATATTCAGAGTAGAAAAGCACATGGAGTTGAACTGCAAGGGAACATTTTGATATTTGATGAAGCTCACAATCTGGTTAGTTATTAATTTAATAATTTTAAAGTTTTATCATCATCATCATGATGTAAGTCATAAAATATTTAGAATCATGCTTGAAAGTGTGCTATAAAAATTTGGTACATATCTTGGTGAAAAATTAGTGTGCAATATTATTTCATGTGAATGTATGTTATACAGATCTGATGAATAGCCAAGATAATTAAATGTTGAAAATGTCTTAAGTCGATTTTTCAACATAATCAATTTTCATGAAAATTGCCATCATAATAATTGCAGTTTATTATTACTGTATGGGATACAATTGTTTGTTCCTCAAAAATTTGTCACAAAACACGACAGGTTATCATCGAATTATCAATCAATCTTCGTTTTGCGTCCAGAGACCCGGTTTCCCGAGGTAGGACGTTGTTTTCTTTGCCATAAACGTTTTGCGCCAAATTAGACGATCAACTGTATCCATTTCATTTAAATTTAGAGCTTTCATGTCTCGCTCGATTGTTTGCGACCAGGACTTCTTTGGACGGCCTTTGGGACGTGTGCCAGGTACTTCAACAGGTACTGCAAGAGAAGTTATGGCACTGTTTCTACTTCGTTTGACATGACCAAACCACCGCAGACGGTGTTGCCGGCATTCGTCCTTCATATCATCTAAACCAGCACGACGCAGGATTTCGGTAGATTTGATGTGGTTCTTCAGACTAATTCGTTGCATCCATCGGAGCATTTTCATGTCGGTTCGTTGAAGTTGTTGTTCCAGTTTGGTTGTCATTGGCCATGTTTCTGCACCATATAACAACACAGGACGTATCACAGATTTATAAAGTCTTGATCGTAGTGGTATTGGGATGTCACGCCGCACCAATATAGAGGCAAGGAGATGCCATTTATTCCAGGCTGCACGTATGCGTGCTCGAACGGCAGCTTCAGCTGTTCCAGTACAATCTAGAACATCCCCTAGATATTGAAACGATGTGACTTTCTCTACCTTAATGGCTTCAAAAACAGTGCTATTTCGAATTTGTTGTTATGGATTGATGCAAGCAGGACAAACAAAATTGGACACTTTAGATAAAGAACCAATTATTTTTAAACAACGTTTGTGACACCAGTGGTTACACTGCTGATTGAATTGTTACCTACACCAGCTTTACAATCTGAACAGGGCCATCGTCTAGTAGCTGTGGATTGGATGGGTTCACCAGTGTTCATTGCTTTGATTTTGCTGATGTTGACTTTGAATCCATGATCCATGATTATCGAATTATGGCCTAAGTAAAGAGCTATCAAAACATTTTAGCGATTCTTAATGTATTGCTTCAAAGGATTTGGCTTAAAATTAATTGGTGATAATACAGGATGCATTCCAGTGTCAAAATTGGAGCAACACGAAAGTTACTCTTCATCCAATCCTTATTTGCTCCAGATAAAAAATACTGCTTTCTGTCAAAAGTATATGCATAAATAGTGACTGATTTGTTCACAAAGTTTTTATCGCTTCCGTTTATTAAAGGCATTTAATAAGCTACATAATACAAAACATTGAAAATGATGTTTCAATTGAATATTTTTTATGTGAGGAGAGCCATTGCAAAAGTTTTTCAAATTTAATATATCAAGCTCGATTGGAGGGTTACAGGCAGGATGAAACTTTTTAGCCATTTCTCACCGAAAAAGTTTGTGCAGTGGATTGGAAAAGGGACAAAGATTGGTGTCAGGGGCTGGTTTGTAGTCAAGACAAATTAGTAGATAAAGTTTAGACCAAAATAAACAACATTTATCAAAACGTTTGTCTTCTGATTCATCCGGATACAATTTTAATAAAAGTTTAAGTAATGACAACAATAATAATTATGAGCCAGATCTCTTTGTAGCCCTGGTTGATAAAAGGAAATGATATTTCGGTAATATTAAGGAGGAAAAAATGTTGAAAATTATAATATAAACGTGAAAATTTTGAAAAAATTTAAAGACAATTTTTTTTTCTATTGACTTGAGAACGACGTGATTGGTTGGGTACAATTTTGAGCGTATTTTAATTGTTCTGCCTGGCGATATCAAGTTGCTTACTGAAAAATAATAATATATATTATTATTTAACTGTTTTTATGCATATTAATAGGTTGTAAATTAATTTTAAGGTGAAAAAATATAAAAAAATTTACACGTAAAAAATGTTTTCCATTTTTGAAACTTTTCCATTTATTAAAGAAGAAAATGGCAATTTTTGTTTTTGATATGTTGTTAAGCTATTAAAACATTATGCAAAACAAAAAATTGTTTAAAATTTGATTCTTCTTAGTTAAAAGTGGCGACAAACAAAATGAATTTTTCAATTTTTTGACAATTTGAAGATCAAAAGCTCCAAAAATATAGGATAAATTTTAGCCAAACCTTGTTTATCAATTAAGATTATAAAGTACTTTAAATATATAATAAAACAATTACTTATTTTATAATAGATTTGGAGCTATGACGATCAAAAACGTGAACATTTAAAAAATTAACTTTTTGCAAACTTTTTTGTGCTTTTGAATTTTATTTGCTTTTTTATTATTATGTCATTACTTCGTTAATATGTACAAAAAATTTCATTTTTGTTGGTTTGAGAGATATAGCGTTCTACATCGATACAAGTTTTCAAAAAAATTTGATGATATACATTGAGAACATACTGCTAAAATTAAAAAATGGTCCGGCGTGGACCATGGTCCAGTTAACAGAAAATGACCAATATATATATTCAACAACAGCCACAACACACGTTTAGACGACATTTTCCCCGAGATCGAGATCGTTTGGCTACCTATGATGAAACCGAAATACCCCTCGACGCCATTCACATTTGTCACTCGCCTCAGTATCACTCAACCCCGCTTTCATTCTGTCCTTCTCCACCTGTTCTCTCCATACATATACTATCGCTGCTCTCACAGATGCTTTATATACCCTCCCTTTCATCTTCACTGACCATTTCTTTCCCTTCTCCACAATACCCCACCCAGTTCCCTAAATTTCATCCATCCCACACGAACTCTAGCCATAACTGCGCTCAAACATCCTCCATCCGCGTTCAGCTTATCCCCTAAGTAAACAAAGCTTTCCACTCTTTCAATACCACCACTCAACCACGTCCTTGCGTCCGTCCTATTAATCACACCATGAACACATTTCTTACATTTGAACGTGCCTTCCACTTTTTTCAGTGCACCCTCACACCACTACATCTTTTATGCACCCACTTCTGACATCCTATACACAATACCGAGTTAGCCTTCACTCTCCTGTCACAAACCCCACAGGGGTCTATTTTACTTATCACTCGCTTCCCCACTCACCATTATCTTCGTCTTACCAATATTAACTTTTAACCCTTTCTTTTCAATAACACTTTTCCATCTGTCAAGTTTTAACTGCAATTCTTCCATGCTATCAGCCATCAAGACTAAATCATCTGCATACAAATCTCAAATAACAACCCTTCCATTATGTTTCTACACACAACATCCATCACAATTGCAAACAAAAACGGTGA